ATGGTTTTTCATTGAATTCACATATAGGTGTTTGTTTTCAGTTGTCTCGTTTCATCTTTTCACTTGCCACCGAATAAACCGGGCCAGGTAACAATCAGACTGCGAAGTTATTGCCTCGAGAGAATCGCGACTTTGAGTTTACTCAAGCTGACGAGCTTTGCTGCCCACAGGAATTTGCTTTTTTCCACGATCATGACTCCCTTTCAGACGTTGAACTGTGTGCATCAGTGCGTGCCTCAGACATTGCTTCATATTCACGCCAGGCATTTCACGACCTTGAAATGTATCCTCTGATCATGAGTGATTTCTTCTGTGTTTAAGTTAAAGGATTAGGAGGACATATGCATACATTTTGGAGGGAGGACGTTGATACGACACCACATTGCCAATAGAAGCGCAATTTTACAAGGCAAAGGGCTGCGGCGAATTTCGGTATTTTGTTCTATTTTGGTTTTCTTGGCAAAAAGTTGCTCAGGCTTGAATGCTAGACTCTTAAGTGCTTTATCCGTTGTACGGTGATCTGGAAATAAAATATTTGGGTCTTGTCGTTGGATAGCCAGCTTCAACAACACCTGTTTGGCTCAACGTGTAAAATGGTCGATCAGTCACGGATTAGTAACATTGATTTTCAATTACTTCTGAAGAGCGTGCTTTGGAATGACGAAGCACAATTTTACATGTATCCAGGTGGTTCATTTTCTACAGCTTCTGTCGTCTGGTTTCCCGCCTGATTCAAATTGCCAAAAAATTATGTTTTCAATAAGAAGACTAGATCGATGCCTCCTCATTAAATTATATCTGTTAAATGAGTATTTGACACACCAGGTTTGCTTTAAAATATGAGCTTTAATATTTGCTTTGGACTCATCTCACAAATAAATATCTAACCTCTTTTCTTTCAATCGATCATTTCATCATTACAAGAATTTCTTCTCTCAGCACATGTCGAATTCACTGCAATTTGAACACCCGTAAAAGTTTTTTTGTTATACCCAGTTCATCTTTGAGACTTATTAGATAATGATCAACTTTCATATATTCTTTCACAATAATTTTTCAAAATGATAATTTCCATCCCTTGTGTGTTTCGCAAGACTCTCGACCAAAACAGTGTAACTGAACTGTGGTACAAATTCAACAGGTAGCGCTGTGCGGTTGTGTTTAGTTGCCAGCAGTCCGAAAACGAGTCTTTAGCACCGTTCAAGCAGTGGGTGACTCGAGTCGTCTACAGTTAACCAAAACGCTACGCTGATTTGACGATTTGATTTACAGTTCATTCCATCGGCTCTTCTTCATGTTTGCTACTGATCCGTGCGATCGGCAGAACGGCTGTTCCTTTCGTCTTTTCGGCGTAGGTGTCCGTATATCGCTACCGCATGCGTTCAGTAAGGCAAACCGCAGTCATGAACAGAGGGCAATCAATTCTGCTTCTTGCAGACAGATGTTGGTAGTCTTCGCAGAATGAGTATGAAGTCTGAAGCCATTCGAGCTTTATTTAACACTGGTCTGACATGATCTGACGATTGTACGCTTTTGTTGATGAATAGCTGAATTCATTTCATTGAGTAAACGTGTTGAACTAATGTGTGATCAATCAGTTCTCTAGCACTTACATGATCGTATTGTCTTGAATATCGAACTTGGTACGGCGAGTCTTAGTTCAGCGCATTTTCCATAGTTGAGGATGAAGCGGTTCTTCTGTACTCACACTGTGCTGCTTTTTGGAATCTTTGCCACTCTGAATCATTACAGATGACAATCTCTTCAGCATATTTAATTCATTTCCCCTTCCCAGATGTCCTCACTGTCGATACCTAAAAGGTACACATGGGACATAGCGCGGAACTCTGTTCGGATTATTCTGCAGTTGTTCCGGATCATCACCTGCCAGCAGCAATGAACTACCGTGTCAAACAGGTAGTCCGCCAAAAACATGGCAGTTCAGCACTTTTTCATACATTGTACTGTTAAGTAAACGAACTTTCTCTATGCAAACTTTAAGCGTCGATGACAAGTCAAGAAATAAAACTTGTGAAATCGTGTTTCTGCTGGTAAACGCTTACTTCGCAAATTCCATAGTCCTTGCGGTGGCGACTGAATTAGAACGTACACTGTAAAAAAAATTTTTTTTTAGCCCAGTTGTTTTTTCAATCAGCGGTCCAATTACTCGTACTGGGTCTTTCAGAAACGCAGATGTGAGTGCCATTCGGCGAGTAATTTGGCACATATGTTGCAAGGGTTTTCTTTGACACTGGCGCAATTCTTTGACAGCTGACATCTACAGTACTTGAGGATGCGCATTCTTGATTTCTCTCCGTCTGACTGAGAGAATGTATTAAAAAGGTGGATCAGGCGGATGGACTGCATGAAATGCATTGTTAAACTGGCTTGGTTGTTTGCAGTGTTATTCCCATATTAGTGTCTTGCGCGACAACTGACCTAGTCACACCTACTGCAACCAGCTAGGGGGGTTGCTAGCAAACAGGACACTAAAACAGGTTACAGGGCTTACTTGCGAGCAAAGCGGCAACAGCGGTCTACACGAGATATCATAATCTTTATATCTGCATAATAATTTCCTCGCTCAAACGCTGACTGGTCCTTTTGTATGCCTGTCGATTCTTTGTTAATCCTCAGGGACCAATCCGCGTCGATCTGCTGACTGTACTTCCGGCGCAAGGTGCGCCTTTGTCTTGCGAGGTGCTGAGGTCGAGCGCTTCTTTGTTTTGCCCACGTTTCCGGTCTTTTGCAGGAGGTGAGAACTTGTTCTTTCGTTTGCTTCGCGTCTAACGTGGCATGCGGGGCGTCCGCGTCCAATTGCCTCCACATCGTTACAGTCGGTCGTCTGTACTGCTGCATTTGTTAAAAAAGGCCACTGGGTCCTGAGATGAGTCTCAGCAATCTCGTATAATTGCTTCCAAGTCACATCCGAGCATCCCAAAAAGTAGAACAGAAGCTGCTCATGTGTGCAAGAAAGAACGCATAAATAAGTAAAAGTTCATTATCTCCTCTTCAGCAATATGCAGCACGTTTTGGCATAGAAAGATGCCTCGCGGCATTGACTGAACGTTCGCTTTATGTAGTTAATTTGAGGAAGTTAGTTACCAGACTGATTGCCAGATACCTCATGCTCTGCACTAGCAACAGCATCAACTGACCGGTAATATGTAAGGTTCTACCGAAACGTGGGTAGGCATGTACCTTTTGGTACTGCGGATCGACAGGTGGTCTCGTTTGTTTCGGTGCGCAAATGGTCTTTATTGTCTTTTTTATTTAATCTTTGTTGGAACCTGCTTATCATCAGTAGAGGATAATTTTAGGTTAAAATTATGAAGCTTTTGTTTCCGTTTTGGTTTCACTGAATAGAGCAAGTTATTTTCCTTTACTTGAATGGGTCTTCACGGCATGGTCTAGCATTTGACTACGTGCACCATCGTTACTGCCTGATCTAACATCGTAAAATTTTTATCGTATTCATTACACATTGTCGTAGGGTATACTTGTTTGCATATTTTACCTGCTTTTTGAACTTAGTCCATTGTTATCCTGTTTGCATTATTTTAACTGAAACGAATATTTCTGTTGTAGAGTAATATGTAACCTTTGGTCGCAGTTGACTGTACTCGTCACAAGTCTTTTGAGGCATATGGGGAAATTTAATATTCTCCAAGTAACAGAAAAATGTGGAACGTCTAAATAGACATACAAATCTCTGAAGCGAACACAATGGTTAAGATGTTGAACCGGTCTGTGTTAACCGACAAAGCTGGCGCTATTTTAAAACTGCCTATGTTCAAGCGCATCCATGTGTCTTTTCGATATCCTCACCCGTAAATCGACACAGCTCTTGGCGACGACCAAAAGGGTATGACCGGAGACGGAACTGACAGGAAAGAAATGTCTGTGGCGTTTGAGAGGTCGGTCATCGTTGCATTTTCATGCTTTGTAACACTTTTTCGTACATCTTATCAGGATGCGTTGATTTATGTCAGCGTGATCACTACAGAATATTGTCTCGTACTTCCTTACGACACAGTACTACTTATGCTACTTTGCTACTATGCTTAGTACTACTCATATATCTATCTTTGAAGAATGAAAGGCTAATATCCTTGCCAAAATTCGATTACATTGCGAATCAAGTTTAGTACCGACAGAACTCACCAATCAGCACGCAGAAAAGATGAGCATCTTTCGTCGGGTTGCTTTTTGGACTAGGTTGCATTAGCGTCTAAGTGCAACTGGTGTGCGATTTGCTTGTGATGTGTTTATTATAGTCACGAATCCGTGCTTGTAGTGTTCTGAATACATCATGACGATATCGTAGGAAGAATGCATAAGCCGTGCTATATTTCTTGTGCCACTTTGCAAATGACCATTCGGAGACTCTCGCAATCTAAATGATCAGTGATAGGTCCCTTGTTGGGCCATAACCGGTATCTTCTCCATTGGAGCTGGCACCATAGACAAATAATGTTGTAATGAAAAGGCGTCTGAAACCTAAGGACAGGTTGGTATGCAGAAAAACTGTTTACATCTAAATTGTGTTAACGAAATGCAAAAGTTCGCAAGACATCATGTTCCTATTCAGCTGTTTTCAACGGCCTCGGATATAAAGTGTCATGGTACTATAAAAATATGAAAACTGGCTTTTTTAAAATTCAAGTTTTTTAGAGGTGCTTTGAGTTTCAAATTTAACATTGTTTAATCGGCTGTTGTAAAAATATCCGGTTATTAAGGTGCCGACTTAAATTTGTCACAGCCGCCGCCTGCTCCGATTCCGCTCCTTACTTCTGCTAACAAAACTGCAGACCTACACGGAAACGAAGCGCAGATTCCGAATCTTTTGTTCCATTCGCCATTGCAGCTCAATAGTCCCGTTCCTAAGGTGCCTCTGACGGATGTTAAAGGTCAAATAAACAACGGTACCCAAAT